CACCCAGTTCAAAAACATGCCAGTGCTATGTGGCTCCAACCCCTCTTGGTGACAGCCACAGTGACTGCAGTGTGGCTATCTTCCAGAGGCATGGAGATATCCACACAATGTTTGCGATGTAACTAGGGTTGGGAAAACATGATCCACCTCTGGCTCTACTGCCCCCTGGTTGATGAACTAATGATTTCAAATTGGTGGAAGAGCCATAATTGGGGTTCCACCTCTGGCTTTAAAGCCCATTGTTGGCGACAGTCTTGAATGGTCAAGTCAGACTCTTGGATACTCACCGGTCCGCTTTCAGCGGACATGCAATACTCCGTGCACTGGGGCTATGTGGCTCTAGAGGGGAAGACATGGCAACAACAGCTAGGAATCAAACAGAGCATCAGGAGGATTATCCGGGCCCACTGGCATCGTAGAAACCTTGTTTGGTTCCAAAGGACCTGGGCTCAAAATAACAAATTAGCATCCGTCAACCAGGAGAGACACTTCATTGTCTGTTCATGGTTATCAGATACACACGACTGAGAAGATGCATAAGAAATAGGGGGCCTATTTTAGGCCACCGCGCTCTGATTGAATTTTAGTCACCACTACGAGGGCACCACATACTAGACACTTAATATTTTAATTGGATGGGAGGACTGGTGGTGGCCCCCCTCCACCCCTCTTTTTTTACTGTGCTTGAAGGTACTATATCTTTGGAAGGAATTTTTTTTGAGTAGAAGGTCAGTACATTGTGCTTCACAGTTCTAGTCAAAAGGGAATGGCCGGAAGGCCAGGGGACACTGGACCCGGTTTGCAGTACAAGCCTAAGCTGGGTATTGGCCCCTGTATGATCCGGGTTGTTTGTGAGGAATTTGTGGCCTCTATCTTCTGAATTTGCAAATGAAGCGTTGATTTCTTCTCCTTCAAAAAAAAAAAAAAAAAAAAAAAAACCAGAACCAGTCAGCAAATGGGCAGGCAGATAGTGGAAGAGGGGCAATCTACTGGACCCGGTTTGCAGTACGCGCCTAAGCTGGGTATTGGCCCCTGTATGATCCGGGTTGTTTGTGAGGAATTTGTGGCCTCTATCTTCTGAATTTGCAAAAGAAGCGGATATTTCTTCTTTTTCAAAAAAAAAAAAAAAAAAAAAAAACAGAACCAGTCAGCAAATGGGCAGGCAGATAGTGGAAGAGGGGCAATCTACGTTGTCCGAGGAATCCAGGTCGAGGTAATATATACATGTTTTTTTTTTTTTTTTTTTGAGGGGGGGGGAATACTTCGAAAACTTTGTCAAATGTTGTCTCCACAAGGCTTCTCGTACTTCGGGGGCCAAGTCCCACTACTGCATGAAAAGTTTTGGTTCCTTGCGCTGCATGGGCAGTGCGGCGGTTGGACGAGAAGGAAAAAGGAAAAGAAAATCGTTAGCGGTACACCGTGGCACTGATGTTGACCCTTTTTGAAAAACTAAGTCAGGCCTCGAACAGGGCCCCTTTTTTATGTTTAGTTTTTTTTTTTTTTTTTTTTTTTTTTTTGCATGCTCGAGGGGGCTCCATCTATTGGTGGGGAGCAACACCTGCTGGAAATCGGGTTCAGCATCCCTTAACATTTTAGGAAGGGGTAGTTTGTAAACAAACAGGAGTTATGTAACCATGCCACGTGTCCATCCTACTATAAACATGAGTGATCACCTGAATCGACACACAAGCACACATCATTAATCCGATGATCAGCATTGATTGCCTTCAACCGAGGGGATTAACTGGCCATCGCAATCTAACGTCATATCTCTAGTCTGAATCCCTCATCATCTACAAAATCGCTCTTGCAGCACCCGAGGAGGAGGGGCATTCAGAATAGGGGGCAAGAAAGTCAATTATAGCAAAACCTTGGACAAAGTCTGATTCCACCATTGCACTGTATTATGTAAGGTTACCTGCACCATATCCCCCCCACGATCCTCATAATCCACGCATCCACTCAAGTGGGGAGACACAGCTTACAAAGATTCATAGCCATGTGCTCACCTAATTAATCGCAGGCATGTGCAGACAGAAAAAGTAAAAAACGTGGCAGGGCACCAATCAATCACACAAGCGGCCCCGGTGCCAATCGTCACTTCTCCGCCTGCCCCGCCTATCAATCACACAAGCAGCCCCGATGCCAATCCTCACTGCACTGCCTGCCCTGACACGTGGCCGAATCCTAAGTTGTAAAAAGCCGCTAAAAATGAAAATCGCCAATCCTGTTGCCATGTGGCCAAAACAGGGTGCGGTAAAACCCACCACTCACTTGCAACCCTGTGTATCCAGCTGTCTAGCTTTCGCTATCCCACCCCCTCACGCCACCATCCCACTCCTCGCGCCCTCACCCGGCCTTCCTGTTTACAAATCAACCCAATCATCCTCACCACTCACCCATCCAGCCAAAGAACACAAGAAAAGATCCAGGAGGAGGGGAAGGGGGGAGGGGGGAAGAGATTGCCCAATCGAACTTTCCACCTCGTGAGCGTTGTTGTTTTTGTTATCATTAATGTTGTTGATGTTGTTGTCGTTATTGTTATTGTTGTAGTTATTATTACTCCCGAGCACGCTCAAGCACAGAATCCGTCCTTCCTTTCCACCGTCGCGCGCCATCTCATTATTGTTGATGCCGCCGATGTTGTCGACGCTTCTGTTGTTGTTACTGTTGTCGTTGTTGTTGTTGTTGCTGTTGTTGTTGTGAGCAGAGGCGGTATGGGTGTCATTGTCGTGATTGTTGGTGTTGTTATTGTGGTTGTCGATGATGTAGTTGCTGGCTGCACTGAAATTGTTGTTGGCATAGCTGCCGGTCGTGCTTGCATCATTGTTGGCATCGTCCGTGATGTCGTCTTTGTTATCATAATATCGGGCCTCCAGCTCGACGTTCAAAGCTTGCCCCTCCTCAAGCTCCTCGTCGTGGCACTGCAGCAAACTATACAATCGTGGCCGATCCAGAAACACATCCAGGTGGGGGGGCGGCCCCTCCTCCAACCCCCATGATATCTCCACTACAACCTACATCACGTTCCGGAGCCACGCGATCGACGGGACCACTTCCGCAGCAGCAGCCGATCGTAGCATCACCACCGCCAGGCTGGACCGCACGCAACTCTCTTGGATGGTTGTAAGCCACTCGGCCGCTTCTGTCTGTAGATCACCCGAAGTTGCCATCACCATTCGCCACGCAGTTCACACCCACACTTGTTTTACCCCACATCACAACACCCCTACACACCCTAGTCGTACCCCTCCTTACTAACCGCGCCCTTCACAAAAGGTCCTTAGATGACACGCCAGGTGGCGTGCAACCGATCACGTTGGAGGCCACGTCAAAAGGCGGTGAAGCCGCCCTGACGTATCGCGCGGGGAGCAGGCCGAGCCGTGCCGGCCGGTCCCCAGCGGGCAACCAAGGTGTAGGCGACCCGTAACGCAGCGCCCCTGCCCAATGTTTGGTTATTTTCTAGTAGTTTGGTTTTGGATTAGTTTCTAGGATATGTGTGGAAGTTGTAGTCTGATGTTGACCCTCTTTTAAATTGGGCCTTTCCACAGAAGTTCCTGTCGGTACTCTTGTGGACCTGTTTTTCGGTACTTGGACTGGGCCCTCCAGCCTCAGTGAGGCGGACCGGCCGAATGATGTTTGTCCGAACTTCCTATTAATAGGCAGACGTAGGACTTAGTTCAGACCTCGGGGAAGGGCAAGAGAGGGAGGATGTAGTAAGGGACTATAGGCTCATCTTTCATGAATGGACTAAGATTGACACAGCAATCCCCATGCGACCTGCTGAAGACTTTCCTGACCCTTTCCCCCCCCCTTCAAACTGTTTGGTTGGCCTGGATTGGTATGGGCGAGACTGAGGACGCTTCCAAAAGGACGGGTGGGGGTGGGAGGAGCTAGTGAGTAGCTGCAGACATCTGGCGCCGGTCCCACGGTGAAGAGCCCCCCCCCCCCCCCTGAGGCCTCACCCTCTGCTCCATTCAAGGGAAGAGGATACTGTGCAGTCAATCCCCTGGGTAGCAGGGCAATCAATGCTGACAGATCCCATTGTCGCCGCTCTCATTGATCTGAGTTGTTCTCTGTGTATGGGACGCTAGACCCGTTTTCCAGCTGGTGATGCTCCCCACCAATAGATGGAGCCCCCCGTCCGGTGGTAGTGCTGTCTGCTCATACCAGCGCCGGTCCAGCGGCACTACCACCGGAGGAGGTTTGTTTAAAAAAAAAAAAAAAAAAAAAAAAAAAAAAAAAAAAAAAAAAAGGGCTTAGTTCACCTTCTCAGGTTCCGCGGTCGGTCTGTCCATTGTGACGACAGAAGACTGCCGCCGTGGTTGTTTGTGGTTCGATGGTGGATCTTGGGACTGTTGGTTTGATAGTGGAATCCTGTTCGGAATCCGTGTTGTGTGTTCTACTTGTCTACTTTGTCACCACGGTGACTGTGTGTCTGTTTGACTTTGCACTACATGTTGTACCTTCACAACTCATTACGGTAACCACGCAAGTGAGCTAACCAGGGGAAGCTTACCGGGTTGAAGTGACCGTGTTCCTCCAGACTATGGTTGCTGGTCACCACTTACTGCTGCTGCTCGACAATTTGAAGTTTGAAGACGTGGAGCCATAGAGAGTTTGGACGAGGCGCAGTGTCGTCTATGCGAAGACTGCGACTGGATTACGTGCGATGGGTGTCAAACACCTTGGTTGCTTGTGATGTCGAGCTTGGATCGACAGGAAGACAACAGAGGGTCTGGCGATGGCGATTGCAGACTGTATAGGATGCCTACCTGCTATAATTGTCACGTACCTGGGCACTATGCTAACCAGTGCCCTAATCGAGACCGGCGACACTGTTTGAGTCGACCTTCGACCTCGACGGACTCTAGGAGGTCGAGATCTCCTTGAGGATTTGAAGCAAGAAGAAACTTCTCACCACCTCGAAAGGAGGTGGAGCTGCGAGAGAAGCTGGTGGAGTTATCACAAGGCGTTGTGGTAATAAAGGAACACTTTGACGCCGAAAAAACTAAGAAGGAAGCAGAAGCAAGAAGGAAATTGGAAAAAGAAAGGGTGAAAGAGGAAGAGAAGCGCAAAGTGGAGGAGGAGTAAGCTCGGAGAGCCGAGGAAGAAGCACGGCATGAAGCGAAGAAGCGGAAGAAGCAGGAGAAAGCCAAGCAGGAGGCAACAGTAAGAGCAGAAATGACGAAAGAAGTGACCCTACATGCGGCGATGCTGATGAGCGAGATCAAAGATGATTCGCTCAACCAATGGAAGACCTCGACGATGCCGTCGTTGGTAGCTGGAACAAAGGATGTGAAGGGGAAGAAGAAAGTAGAGTATGCCCCGGACGTGGATACCTCATCTGATTATAGCGATGAGGGAAGTGAGACTAGTGTCATGCAGGATTTGAGTGAGAAGACACGACAACTTTGCATCGCAGAGAAACGCAACAGGGAGGATGACGTCGTGTTTGAAGATAGCCCACCGATGGAGCTACCTCCGAAAAGGACCCCACCGAAGGGCGGCATCAAACTTACCGAGATGAACGTCGAGCGTTTGACGAGATCCAAGGCGAGGAAGAAGGGTGGCTGCACACCGATCCTTGCAAAAAAAAGAACGCCGATTTAAACCCCGCTCACCAAGGTGATGAAGTCGGCCAAAAATAAATCTCCACCAAGTGGCCGTCTCACTCCAGCTAATAAAGCGCTGTTAAGATTACGTTACCAAGATGCAGTCATGAGGGAGTTGCAAAACTGCAACGCTGATGAGCTACAACGCATCTGCAGGGAGGAAGGTCTGCACTACGATGGGAAGATAAACTCTATCTTTGATATTGCCGAATATCGTTCAAGGCACCAGTTCCCGGGAGATGACAGGGAGGTGGAAGTCATCCTGATCACGGATTCTGCCGATCCCGGACTAGAGAATGCGCCTGCTAATAACCAGGGGTGATGTAACATCGACTCGGCACAATGGTAGGAGATATGCAGATACATTACAAGCCTTCGTTGTTGCTCAAGTGTCATCGATCGCAAGTTGGAACAGTTACTCCGTTTGATCATTGTAGTTCTAGCCTTGACTAAGCAAGTGAAGTGGCTTCATAGGTTACCGTTCGTGAATCAGTGGTTGCACCTGTATGAGACACACGGGATTGGTTTCTTGAATTTGAGTAGTCTGGTCTACGTGGCAGTCTCCCCATAGGGCCCGTACTGTAAGTTGTGTTAAGTTGAGAAAACTACACGGGATAGCACCACTCGTTGGCGTGAGCACTTGTATGCAGTTAACAAACGTAAACAATCACATTTTCATCGTTGGATTGCATCTTTTGGGATTGGAAACTATGTGTTAATTCCATTGGATATTTTTGAAGGGAAGGATTTTTGAAGGCTATAAGAGTTGTACATTAGTAGGTGGTCACCTTTTCTCAACCCTACTAGGGTTAAAGGGGATTCAAAGAAGTCGAGGAAAGCCAAGCCGGGAAGGAGGGAGATGAACCGAGGTAAGGAGGGCAAGTACGGTAAGCAGCCTAATCGCTTGGTCAGTCTGATCCGTTTTTACTTAGTGTCTAATAATTCGGGTTTCTTGGACATCCATTCGTTTTTGGATATGATTCTGAGCTCTGGGAATCAGCGCTGTGTGATACGAACGGATGGCGGGAATGACCCGACCCCGAAATGAAAAAAGTTGTCCAAAGCTTTCGGGGAAAGAAAAATCAAATGCCTCTCTCGTACTGTAGCTCTGAAGGATTGCAAAAACTTTCTTGAGAAGGGTGGTGTTTTCGAAATGCTCTTTGTCAATACATGAAAGTCAAGGTGTAAGTACCTAAAGAAGGTGTTGGTCACAGTTGGTGGGAATCCTGCGCAATCCGAAGAGGTTGTATGATTTGTATAAATGGAGTATAGAGGATGTACATTGTATCTAGGAATTTGACAAGGGAATACTTACGTAGGCTGGTTTCTTGATGTTTTCGAGATCACTTCGAATTAAGTTCGTCATCCGATCTTACCTTTCGCATCAAGTTCGACGAAAGGATTGTTGTTTATGAATTCAGGAAGCTACTAGCCAATTATGCTTTAATATTGTGTGACTTACCTCAGTGTTTCATGCTCCGAGCGCGAAGGAAAATTTGCATCGTAGGGACAAAAAACCCTACAATTGTTGACATATTGCATATTAACCATCATAGTGTTTCAAGACGTGGCGTGCTTACCTGTTGTTGTGCGGGTATGGATTTCCCGCTCGTGAATGGGCATGTGTTGTTTCGATTAACCGAGGTAGCTGATCTGCACCCACTATTATTGAATGCTAACAATATCTCGAGACTCTCGAGAGTGAAGGCTACTGATAGACTTTGCTTGCTTCGTGAGGAATCGAATTCCGGATTTCGAAATTGGAAGAATTTGGGAGGTCATGTACCAGATTGTTCAACCTTGGATCTCTCCTTATGTTTCTCGTCGAACACTGGTAACACGTTGAGCGTTTCAATGGATGAGGTTCTCACCCTCAAGTTTCGTTTGAAAGACTTGGTCGTATCATCAGTTGATCGGAACTCCGGTGAGTATGTGGCTATGTGCCCAGCCGTGTATTTTGAGGCTATGATGAACACTTTTGTCTGTCATCCTGACTACCGTGTGGTTAATCACTCGGAAGTTAAGGTATCGAAAGAGATTCGCGAGGACGTTTGCCGATTGGAACTTGGGAAGTTTGTGAACGGTTATTCAAGAGGGAAATTTGATTCGGCCTACGTAATTTCTAAACAGAAGGACTTAGGCCGGTACCGCCCTATTTGTCCCTCGTTCTGTGAGCCGACGGTGCGAACTGCACGCATTGTGGACGAAGGGTTAAATCACTTGCTTTACACACTGCCTAAGTGCTGACACTTTAATCTCCGAGTTTTTTTTGATCTGACTACCCAGTTGGAGTTGATTAATCGAAAATTGGGAAGGTTAGGGAGTAATTGTGTGGTAACTTCTTACTCCTTTGATATCAAGGAGATGTTTAGCACGTTGCCACACGATGAGATTCTTCGGGCAATCGATTTGATTATTTACCACTATGAAAGTATTAGGGATGACTTCGAGCGGGTGAATACTTGAGGGAAGGGCACAACTTTTGGAGTCATGACATGAGCAGACCATTGGAAGCATTTGTACCTGAAGCACATTTTGAGCTTTGTACATTCGGAGATGGGGCATAACTATTTCTTTGCCACAATGTTTTTTTTTTTTTTTTTTTTGAGAAATTGCTCCAATCTATTCGTGGGGAGCAGCACGCGCTGGGAACCGGGCCCAACGTCCCTTATAACAGAAATACATTGATGATTGATGATCATTGATGATAATTTGGGATGATTGAGGATCATTTAGGATGATTTAGGACGATTGAGGATGATAGAGTGGAGATTGAGGTCATCAAATAGAGATAGATAATTACTAATCAGAATGATTGTCTACTCAACACTCAAATACTATCCTATCCCTAATTTCCTGTATCCATTCCAACCAACCAATCACAACAAAGCCTTTGTTGTGGACCAATCAGTCCTCTTTCTGGTCTCACACCCCAATCTGGCTCGGTTAGTGGGCAGTGCTACGGTGCTACCCACCCCAACTCTGCCCATCGTCGACCAGATTGTAGCCATTAGTCAAGTTTGCAGATTGCCTTCCTCCCTCTGCAATCCCATAGCTCTATACAAAGCCTCAAGCACCTACTCAAGCAGGTTACAGGGCATCGCCCCAGCGACGACCAGCGTCGTTCTGGCGCCAACTCAACCTGGCCATTACACAAAAGACTCAATTAGGAACTTAGCTAATCTAGAATGCCAACTAGAAATTTAGGATTTGATAATAACAGAATCCTGATAAAAAAACTTTCTGCTGATGAAATTTGACGAGTACCCAGAGATGATCACAAAAATGATGGATAATGATGAGGATGTTGATGACTATTCCTCTTCACCCCTCCCCTTCCTCCATGTACTCTCCTCCGCTTTCCTCGTTTTCTGTTCTCCTCTTCTCCTCCGCTGCCTCCGCTTAGTTGAACCCCGCTATCAGTATGGAGTTCCTATCAGCCTCAACGAGAGAGAGAACCTCTCCATTCCCTTCTGCCTTGAAGTAACCAGTTCCCCCAAAAGGTGTACCTCGAATGTAACACTCTGACCTAGTCTGCCTCCGTCAAGAGATAATGCGCCCCCATACATAACTCTCAGCACCAGCCCAGGTCATCTCCCATCATCTGCGTCTACTCTCGAGAGGGCAATCACCTCCCACCTTGTGTTACCCCTGCGGAGTAGCGCTCCCTTCCTGACCGACCAACCTACCAACTAGACCATAACCTATCTGGGCGAAAAAGATATAACCACCAACACAGAGATAACTAATGATTGATGAAAAAATGAATAAAGAAACCGTGATGATGATGATGATGATCAGATTGGTTGATGATGATGATGATGATGATGATGACAATGATGATGGAATAAAATTGGCGAGAAACAATCGAGGAACGTTTGACTTGCGATGCCCTAATGACACCGGTGTGGAAGATTGACAGCTCACTATTGCTGTAATGAAATAGAAGATGACAATGATTACGATTTTGACGGAGAAGTCCAAATGACGATCATGAAAAAGATGAGGAAGCGAAATGGTGATGATGACCACCGTCAACAATGATGGCGACCACCGGCGAAAAAAGGATGTGGGTGACGTAAATGACAAGCAACTTTGATATGTGAAGACAACCAGGGGCAGTGTTGATGATAAACCAACACTTCTAACGAAGAAACCTGCACAGGAAAAAAACAACAAAAGAACACAAAAATGAAGAAGAGCTCCCTTGATGATGATCTCGCCGAAGATCCTCCTGTTGTGATGATGCTCAAGCTGGTCTAGCGGTCTCCACACTTTGGATCCACGGGGCTGACTCCACTTTCTTCCACCGACGTCGACTTTCGCCAACTCACTCGAGCGCTCCAGACTCTGAAGGGCATTAACAGCGATTTCGTGAAAACGGACATTTTATATTTTTTGAACGAAATTTAAATTGTCATTTCCATGGTGATTTAGGGTCAAAAATGCATTTGAATTTGGGGTATGGGTATACATGCAAGGGTAAGGGCTAAGGGGTAAGGGGTAAGGGGTAAGGGGTTTGGGGGTAAGGGATAAGGGGTAAAGGACAAGGGGTAAGGGGCAGGAACTTGGAGCAATGGTTGTCATCTTCTATACACTGTTTCCATGACAAACAATTTAATGTTACCCACATCCATCCGTGTGTAATCACAATATCCAGCAGCAGGTTCATACTACTCGCGAGCCACTGTGTCGAAAGCCATTCGACGACGTATTGCGGGTATGTCATCAGCGGTGAAAGAAAAAGGCGGAAGGTGACCCCTTGCCAATAGCGATGCGTATGCGAGCATGAAAACCCCACACGAGCTAGTGTCACGTTGTTTCGGGATGCCCTCTACGGTCCATATGTGATTAAACGGTTTCGTGTCCACCTCTTTGCCTTGCTGAATTGATCTTTTAAACAAAAACTTTGCAAATCCGCCGGTCACTTTGGCTGCCAGTTCTTTGTCAGGGCTGAGGGAGTCGTAAAATTCAAATTTCCTCCTCCTGAAGTCAGCCACAACGAGGGTCCAGTGGTTCGTGTGTGCGATATGGAAAGGGGCAATTATCAAGTCCATGTCACTTATTATAATGTCATTCGACCAGTGCTGCACCTCTCGCTCTTGATATTTCATTTCGTTGTCAAAAAGTCTGGCGAAGAAAAACGAGCTCAACACTGATATTTTAGTAATGCGACCCTTTTCGATTTTAATCACGGTTTCGTTCTCGGCGTCGCATTCTACGTGTGTGATTCTACGCCAGTTGTCTAGTGCGATGAGGTTCAGGTAGAAGTTGACGACGTTGTCATTTAACCAGTTCCGCTCGTCGACTAGTAAAATAAATTCGTCTCGAGTTAGCTTCAGTACTTCGTTCGTCCTATGATTGTGTGTGCTCGCTATTGGGAACCTTTTCCCGTACTCCCGACATACATGTGAGAGTGCTTTCATCTCCTTCTCTGATAAAGACGATGTTGCGAGGCGCATTGTCCACCCTCTCTTGCGCTTTCTTGTATCTGTTGTTGTAATTTGCACTGCACACGACAAACACGACGAATACGACATCGACGGCGGTGTAAACAACGGTGACCGAGGCGGACAGGGGTGTAAAAAATGGTCGCCCTTACAGGAAAGTAAGAAACGGGTGGGCAGGCGGTGTAAAAAACGGGGAGGGCGACCATTTGAGATACTTGTACATGGGCAAGTGCCTTAGGATAACATGCTAACGGAAATGATGTATTCAAGATACGTCATCAATGTTTCGCTAAACTTACACTTAGATGAAAGACAACACTTCGGGACCAATCAATCCTGACTCCTGCCCCCTTTCATCACCGTACCCCAATGACATACATGCATATACACAACGCAGCATATTGACGAATATAGAGAGACACACACGCATACTACGACACACTATTGTTCACCCCACAATTTTCTTGTGAACAATTAAAAGGCCAAATCCTGGAAATTGAACACTAATGAGTCTGCAGGTCGATTGTACACAGGAACAAATTCCGCCCACAAACCCAGATTTCAAACAAATGAGCACACACACGAAAACATTAAATTTCCCCACGAAGAGGATTCCCCTCAAGTTCATTCCCTGTCTCACCCCTCATTTTCTGCACGCTTGGGATCGCTCACGCCCTTTCCGCCTTCTACCCCATCCTCATCGTCTGTCGTCATGTCCTCAATATTGCGAGAACGTGGAGACCCTCCTGCATTTCCCCCATTCCCGTCATCCCCTGTGACCCCTCCCGGTGGTGTTGTTATACAGTGTGCGTCACCTTTGCTAGTGCATGTGGGCGGATGCAACGACATCCCCGTGACGCCCATCCCAGCAGTGGACTCTGACACCATCTTCGACATCTTCGATGTGCCTGCCAGCGCCACACCTGTCGCGAGGAGACTCCCGTATGTGGCGCCCGCATCCGCCGGCTTGTCGAGTGACACTTTTTCACCTTGTGATGTATCCCCCGTTGCGACAGAGATGACTCCGATGGTGTTTTTGCCTGCGGGCGTGTTCCCCGCCTCTGGCAACAGAGGCTTCACACCAAACGTCATCCCGCCATCTTCCCTTTGTTTACCCATCGTGTTCCCTGTGGCCGCCTCGGGCACAAGGGCGACATCTTCTCGAGAGTCCACGTCCATGCTCTCGAGCGAGGCGGCGCGCTCAACCTTCCAGTCAATCTTGTCGTACTAGGGGCTCGAGTGCAGCTCGTAAAACTTGTGTGAGTACTCTAACTGTCGAGTGACTCCCAAGGCGTCGAAAAATTGTTTCGCCTTTGCCGCGATGGATGTTTTACTCTCCTCGGGGTTCTCTTTCTGACAGCGGTATAGTATTGATTGCTCCGTCGTCTTCAGCCAGTTGTCCTTTCCCATGCGGGGAAACGGTCTCCAACCCTTCGAGACATACTTCACCGCGATTTTCCAGTCCCTGCCTTGGATACATGGCTCGAAAATGTCGTCATGCCAAATGATATCATGGCCCCACTTGTCCTCACTAGTGCAGGCGTATTTTTCATCCAAGAAATACACATTGTTTGCATCCGCACAAAATCTGGGAGGAATCAGATCGCCTGGCGCCAACTTCGTTAGCTGAGCAGGAATATCAAGGTCATCGTCTTCGTCGTCTTCCACAGGCGTACATACAACCCGGTCCACACTTGAGGCCACACTGTTCGCAGGTGGCAGGTTCAAGCATCCGTCTGATTGACCCGGTCCATATCCCTTGACGCTGTGCTCAATGGCAGCGGACTTCCCACACAACCCGGTTGCATTGGTGTCCTTTTCGATCTCGAGGTCAGAGTCCGACGAGTCTTCCTCGTTGTCATTAGGGTTAAAGCCTTCACCCGATTTAGCGAGGTCTGCATAGTCCTTAAACGTAAGTTTATCTTTGTGAAGATCAAACCTCAAGATATGGCATCGAGCAACGAATGTCTCGAAGGCGCCAGTTAGAGCACCATGATAATGTTTGAGGGCCTCGGTCACCTTGGTTTTCCTATATATGTATCCCCCATCAAGGCGTCCATCCGGCGCATTGCGGAACAGGTATTCCCACACCTTGAGTCTTTTCGGTCCCAACTTGTGGTACATATCCCTGTTCGTGCGATGTGTGGCACGCGGCTTCTCGAGGCGGCACTCGAATGTCCCATCCTTAACAAGTATGTCGACGAACTTTGTCAAGTATGCAATGTCCTTGGCCGACTCGTCACAGGCAATGACATTATTACCTGCAAGCAATAACTTCCATACAAGACCCGCATGCGCCCTACCCAGCAAAAGCACACCTTCCGCCTCTCCTACGAATGAACCGCACAACTTTCGCAACTTGCCAGGTTCTCATTCCCAAATTGAATATGCGGCACTTTCGTCGCCCTCGACGCCACCGTGTTTTCCGAGACACTTCCCGAACTTTTCCTCCACAACATGCACTTCGGTGAGATCGTTGTGAAGTCGGGGTGCGACAGTTACTTTCTTCAGATCCCCTCCTTCAGCGTGCAGCACGATCGTCATCAGGTCCCGACTGCTCGTAGCGATTTGCCGTACCTTGTGACGTCGCTCGACGTCTTGTCCACGCGTTTCCATGACCCGGGGATGAGCTCGATGTCCTCCCAACGGTACAATTGACGCAAGACATCGCTTTGCACATTCTGCGGTGCAAAGAAGAAGAGGACCCAATTTGGACCACAACACTTCGCCATCATTGCGTACAGTGCATCGAAGTCCTGCGAGGTTCATGCACTGCTGAAATTCGCGGCCGAGATGTCCACGATGGCAGCCCTGCATGCCATTTTTTGTGCGGCTGCGACGATGTCGACGGGCGCCGCCATAACCTCCTTTGACCGCATGCATACAGGAAGCAATGTGGTCTGCCTGCTGAGTTTGTCCCACACAAGATGGCGTGCACTGGAGGTGATCTATTTCACCTCTGCTCGAAGCATATCGAGCTTATCGATTGTGGTGTATATAAAAACCTTGAAGTGAAACGGAGCCTCCTTGTACATCACTTCTGTAGGCCTCAAGCCCGCACCTTGCCTCGCCTCCTCCACTCCTCCAAGTCGCCGAGGGATCGTCTTCACTAAGTTGTTATGCAGCTTCTCCCGTTGCTTCTCTCATTCATCTGAGCATAACCCGTTTGAAGCATACCTTTCTTCTAGATCCTTGTACGACATGAAGAAGTCGTCGTTCCATTCATCCCCTGCCCTTCCTTCGGCGCGAAACATGACGTAGTTGAACATGCGGACCATGTATCTCTCCTTGCGCATAATATCGAGGAGGCACTCTTTGTTCACCCTCGGAGGCGTGACTCTCACTTTTGTTGCCACCACTTTCCCCGACATGAGCAGGAGTAGCGCGGCTTCTCTCTCGCGGCATGTCATGTCCCCGAAGTTCTTGAAGTACGCAGGACACAAATCCTTCCAGGACACGGTGGAGCCCTGGGACCATCTCTCGCATATATGCAGTGGTACAAAGTCCGTTGTCCCTTGTTCTCGTCAGTGTACGGGCTGGGCAGGCGCCCCTCCATCCTCCCCGGCATCTCAAGTGGGATCTTGCCGTCGCCGATTGGCAGTTACCGTCCTCGAACATCGAGAAGAACTTCTCCACCAGCGGCCAAACCGTGCGGGTGGATGTGGCAAGGTTCAGGTACCCCCGAAGTTTGTTACTCCAATCCTTGCTCTATTTGTTGTCGAGTGCCTAATTCACGAACGCCTTGTCGCACGCCTTCCCTATGCAGGCCCTCAGGAAGTTCTGCCACGTTTTCTGATGCGCAACGGCGACGACATCCTTCTCGCTGACCTTAGCTTTGGGTGCCTCGATCCTGTTGTTGTCGATCCACCATTGTCGCATATCACGCGCAGCGTCCTGGAAGGATAACATCATGGCGCGATTCTCCCGTGTGTTGTCGAAGAGGGAGACATTGAAGTATCCGCGTGTGTGGTCATCATCGAAAAAGACGACTCACACTTTAGAGTACGTGCGGAGGCCGTAGACTTTGACCGCGGGGGAGTCCTTTCCAACCAACAGTTTCATGGCCTCGGCTGTATGCTGACCGCAGATAGCGTACCAGTCGAACTCTGCAGAATCCCTTTGGAAGAAATCGTCCGGCGTGATTCGCCTTCCCTGCCCCCCGACGATGACGTTGGGGTCAACCGGCGCAAGAACGAGCTCAGGTCTATTCCACACCCCCGGGTCAGCACTGATGGAGCTTTCTATCGCACTCTCGATGCCTCTCACAATGTTCTCAGACAACGAACGGTGGTTAAATAGGATCTTCCCATGAGGAATGGGTTTGATCCCATTAACGTCGACGTTAACAACTTGGACGTCTTGCCTGGCGAAGCCCTGTTCGTCGTATTCGAGGAAGAAACATCGTGTCGTGTCCACGGGCGCGGCGTGCTGAACCATCTCTTCAATGTCTTCGGGCATGCGAGGCCCCACCCCCTCGCCCTCATCCCCCGAGCCCCGCAGCTCAGGTGCCCTTGACCTCTGCGAGCCTTTCCTACCGCCGCCACGACCGCCCCCGCGGCTGCCACTTCGCCCCCCCCCAACAGTTTTCCGAGGAGTCCGCGCTTCCTGTGATGCCGTCAACGCTCCGCGAGCTTCATTGACGGCGTCGACCCGCGCCTGTTTTGTTCGACTCGCAAGAGAGGTCGACGCCTCTCCCCTCTTTCGCTTTCCCCGTGAGCCAGGTTCGTCTCTCCCTTCCTTCGTCTGGTCATAGGACTGCGACATTCCGCGGGAGGCTGCAGGCTGGCCACCAGCATCGACCGCGTCACCGACGCGGCAGGCGTCGTCCTCACAGCGCCCTTGCGATTCGTTGTGGTGGCAACGGTGAAATTGGGAGGAGCGATTGTCTTCGACTTGCTCACCAACATCGTCTCTCTCCTCGTCCATACCATCGTCCTCACCTTCAGCATCTCCTTCGTTACCGTCGTCTGCCTCACCACCGCCCTCCTCCTCCTCACCACCGCCCTCCCCCTCCTCACCACCGCCCTCCCCATCCCAGCCACCGCCCTCCCCATCTTGGCCCTCACATTCCTCGTCAGCGAAGGCACCTGCACCTCCCCGTGAACGATGCTGGGGACCAGCCCGATAGTGCACAGCTCCGTCGTCGTAGTCTATGGCCTCGCTTGACTGCTCGGCCGCATCGCGACCTCGGCGATCTGAGGGCGGAACCGGAGCGGGCAGAGCCTGGACAACCGTAGCCGACGAAAACGGGGCAGTCGGCAATTGCTTCCAATTTCCACCCCCTCTGCCGACTGATCTTGGCGCTGTTTGGTCCACCGGGCTGTTGAATTGGACCAAAAGTCTGCTGAGCATGAAAGCGCTGTCGACGATAGGCAGGGAACCAGTCATGCGGTAGCCATTGGTTTTGAGAAGAAACTTTTCCGGATCCAGCATTTGGAACTCCGTTCCGTTCCCGCGCACGTCAAACGCTTTCATTGACAAAGCCTTGACCCCGTATCCTTGGAAGAGCCGATGGTCAAGAGACACCTTCTTATCTTCCTTGACCCAGTTTTTCCCCTCTCTGTCATAGACAGACGTAAGGAAGAAGGTCCTGAACTTCCTGCCGTCGTAGGTAAACCTCCCAGCTTCCAATTTCTCCACCCCTCCGGAGCAGTACCAACTCAGGCCATTGTCATCGCTCAAAAAGACAACGGTTTCGCAACCCGGCATAGGAAGGCCACCTACCCAATCAAGAGCCCATGGTTTGTCGTGGTAGAGCTTAGACCTGCCGTACCGTTTTTCGGGGGCGGAGGCAGACGCTGTTTTTCCTGAAGGGTCGCACAAAAAAAAACAACAAGAAAACAACACTAAGTGACATGAAGAAACTTTCGTCGCGGCACAGGAGTTTCACTATCGCCCCACGCAGCGGGTCTGGCGTTTCTAGAACGCCGTACCCCACGACCGTTGTGTGTGCGGGTCCGGCGTCCCCAAAATAGCAGACCCCACCAACGTGCCTGTCGGCACGGTGGTCGGCCGAACCCCTCCCTCGCCCGCCTCATCGACGAAACCCCGTGGCGTTTCATGTCCTTCCCTCTCCCTACCTCTAGCAGCAGCGAGCGGGGTCCGGTGTTCCAGTAACGCCGGACCCATGTCGGTGCTGCGAGAGAGTAAGGGGGCCCCTCCCTCCCCGTCGCTGACAACAACACCAAGGGGGTCCGGCGTTCCGGGAACGCCGGCCCCCCTTTGAGGTGCAGGGGAAGAAGTGGGTCTGTCCCCTCCCCTTGATGGCCACAACACAAAGGGGGTCCGGCGTTCCCGGAACGCCGGACCCCCTTTGTGCGGCGGGGGAGAACGGGAACGCCGGACCCCCTTTGTGCCGCGGGGGAGGACGGGGGTCCGAGATCCGATCCGACGATGGGCATAGCACGAAGGGGGTCCGGCGTTCCCGGAACGCGGAACCCCCTTTGTGCTGTGGGGGATGAAGGGGGTCCGTCCCATCCCCTCGATGGCCACAACACCAAGCCTGCGCACCCCTCGCTCCCCCGAAGCGCGAAGGGGGTCCGGCGTTCCCAGAAC